TTCCGGAGCCACGGTTTTATCCAAGCCCTGCTTCCCCTGACGCCCAGAGCGGGGGGCAGCAGCAGCAGCAGGGGTACGGATCGAGCGTCGATCGTCGAGTCTTGGAGCCTTCTTGGGGCCGGGGGCTGCGCAGCGGGGAGCATCAAGAGAAGGAGAGTCGGTATGAGCATGCTTGGGATCCGCCACCCGCCACCCGTATCTGACCCCGCCGTCTCCCCCCCCCTCCTCCCCACCTTTACTCCCCTCCGCCTCCACCTCCCCACTCCTCCACCTCCCCCTCCACCTGCTCACCCCTCCTCCTCCCCACCTCCACTACCCCCTTCCCCCCTCCACCTCATTCCTGGAGAACGAGGAGAATCAGCCATTCAACACAAACTTCAGGAGGTTCGCGCTGATCTCTTGAAGCGGCACTGGACCGCCCTCCCCTGGCGCGCGGAGCGCGCCAGAGGCGGCGCCGGAGGCGCTCATGCATGCCCGAATCGTCTACAAGCTTGCCGTCGTTCGGACGTCCATTTCCCGTGCATTTTTCGGTTTCGTGCGTGTTTTTCTTTGTTGCTCGATGGTCCAGGATGGTCCTCGATGGTTCTCGCCGTGAAAAAATGCACACGTCCGAGCGATGCCAAGCAAGCGTCGGCAACGGTGAGTCCCCGCGCAAACCTCGAGCCTTCCGTTTCCCCGAGCGGCGGCGACCACCGCGGCCCTCCCCATCCGGCCCAGGAGCAGTCCGCCGGGAGGCGCCTGCGCACACTGCGCACGGCGACGACGAGGGGAAGGGACGAGCAGCACAGCAGGCTCACGCTGCTCTCACGTCAGCGCTGGCTTCTGGCACCGCACGTGGGGAGACCAAGAGGTACCAATACCGCTACTCCCCGGACCTCCCCTGGGGTGCGTTCTGACCAGAATTTCGATGCGAATCCAGCGGTTGCGACGGGGGCCTCCCAGGAGGCCCAAAGAGGGGAAAACGAGGAAAGGGTAGAGGTATGGGTACCTTTTCCTCCGCTGAGCATGGATCGCTCAACCTCGAGCGGTCGCGAGCTCCGACGGCGCAGAGATCGCTCGATGCTGGCCGACTGCGGGCCACCGGCGGTGTTCGGCCTGGCAAATCGCCCGCGCGGGGGTCGCCGCCGCGTCCACGCGGCGCGAGGCCACCGCAGTGGGAGGGGAGGCCAAGGGGAGGAGGGCAAGGGAGGGGAGGGGAGACGGGAACCTCCTCCTGCTCCTCCCCCCTGTTCCCCCGCCTCCTTCAAGCCCGCCAGGTCGCACCTCCTCCTGGTCCCTCCTCATCCCTCCATCTCCTCTCCGGCATGAGTAACTCCTTCCTGTCGCACCCCCAGACGCGTCGGTTGGGCGGGCCAGGCGTTAGGACCGTGAAGCTTGAACCTTGCAACAGCTTCAAGGAAGGAGGGCGAATCCTTCGCGCCGCGCTCATTCAGTTTGAAAGTTTGCAACAGTTACAGGGTGCGGATCCTTTTCAAACTGTGTCTCTCGCCTTAGCGACGCGCGCATTCGCCCTAAAAGTTTGCAGCAGTTTTAAGGGTTCGTAGGATCTAAATCCCAGGCATGGCCTTCTGGCACGGTTTAGGATTCTCAGGACGCAAAACTTACGTCGATTTGCGGTGCTGAAACCTCAAAAACTGCCGTCAGGCACGCTGGACGACAGTCAGGGCGCAACAGTCGCGCTGATTCGCGGCATTAAAGTCCCAGGAATGGCGTTCTGATACGACGGAGAAATCTCAGACGGCTTTCTTTCAATGGGGCACTTCCCGCAATGAAAACAAGCTCTTGACGAGACCAATGACCTATGGAGAGGGAAGTTGGAGGGAAAGTTCGTTATAACATCGTTGTTGCGTCTTGGGCTTACACTAGTCCTCCTCCCCCCCATCCTCCCCCCCACCGGTCCTCCTCCCCCCATCCTGCACCCCAAACGTCCGACGTGGTGACTGTTGTCGCATTGCGGCTCCCCAGAAAAGTCTGGACCCCTTCCTGGAGACCGTCTTTTCATCCTGAATCGTCTTTTGCTGGCCCAGGGCCTGCAAGGGCCCACGGATGCCCAAAGCAGCCGAAAATCTGCCGTCGGCTTTGTTTTTGCACGGCGCGAGGATGGCAGGATCCTCCTCCACCCACCCATGCTCCCAGACCCCTGCTCACTACATGCCTCTTGATGGCTGTCGCCTTAACGCCGCACGCACGCCTCAACGCCGCGCACACTCGAACTCACAAGCCAAACTTCTATATGGATGGAGTGCGGATATTTGTCAACATGTGATCCACGCCTGCGACGTCCTCGTATCGATCATACGACCACGGTTGCCAAAATGTGAAGCCGTTGCAAGGACGGAGAGCGGCGCCTTTTCAAGATGGGGCTCTCGCCTTAGAAGTCGCGGATGGCTGCATGACCGGAATGTGAAGCTTGCGCAACACCTATATACAGGTGGAGGGCAGCTCCGTTCCTAAGCGTTGCTGTCGCTCGGCGCGTCCTCGAACCTATAGTCAGGGTGGATTGGAGAGGGCACGCGAGAGGACACAAGACCCTTCCGATGGCCATATTGCCAGTGGAACGTAGAGGGCATGGGTCGCAAAACACAGGACCCAAAGGTACCCTTGTTTGGGCAGGGTCGACCTGCTAATCAAACTCGACTGTATGTCCGCATCTTGGCAGATGATTTAATGGTGGGCGGCTTCTTACGAAACGGAGTTCCCGCCTGAATTGCCACCCCATGGGGCGCTCGTCTTTCGAGGGGGGCCATTCGCGCATGGAGAAAAGGCTCGTGGGACTGTGGCGGGGAGGGGACTGGGGACGGGAGGGTGTATGGCAGCAGCGTTGTTACACCCTGGGCTTACACAGGTCCTCCTCCTCCTCCACCCCCTCCTCCCTCCTCTTCGTCCTCCTCATCCTCCTCGTTCACCTCCTCCTCCTGATCATCCTATCGCTACCGTCCTCCTCCTCCTTCTCCTCCTTCTCCTCCTTCTCATCCGCCTCCTCCTCCTCCACGCATTGTCTTGATGAGTAACGCTTCCGCGTCTGACAACCAAACGTGTCTGTAGATCGGACTGGGCGTTTCGCTTGAGACTCCCCCACAAGGTATGATCCTGAAGCTCGAATTCTCCAACAGTTGCATCGGTGGGGGGTCCTCCCCCCGCGCACATCCGTCCGGACAGTTTGCATCAGCTACAAAGGTGCTTAGGGTCGGTATCACAATTGTGGTATCAGCGTAGCGCCGCGCCCATTCGTTTCACAAGTTTGCAACAGCGACAAGAATGAAGGACGGATCGTTTTGACTAGATTGCTCTCGTCAGAACGGCGTGCATTCTCGCCCTAAAATCGGCGGTGGACAAACCTCCCTTTAGTAGACCTCCCCTTAGTGAAAACGGCCTGGGACCGAAACCGACGGACCTGGACCCGCAAAAATGACGGCCGCGACGCCCTCTCGCGAACCGAAAACGGCCAATTCCTGAATCGACGTGTCAGGGCAGGAGGTCTGTCCACCCCCGATAAAAAGGTCTGCGACGCCTGCAGGGATGGAGGGCGGCTCCAGTTCCAAAGTTGCGCTCTCGCCTGAGCGCCGCGCAAGGTTCGTCTTGAGAAGCTTGCAGCAGCAACTAGGATGGAGGGCAGACACCGATGGAGGGGGGCTCGTTTTCACAGTGGGACTCTCGCTTGATGAACGCACGAAGAACGACCCCCGACCCCCACAGGAGGAACTCTAGACGAATGGGATCGTCAAACGGCGCGCGAACTGCGCGCGGAAACAACTCGACGGTCAGCCGACGACAGCGCCGGGCACTTCGATGCGAACGGCGCACTGCTGCCATGCTCATTGGCATTTGAACTTGGCGTCACCTTGTGTTGGCCAGAAAACTAAACAGATGCCACAACTGCACGCACGGAGGGTTGCAGTCGTTTCAAAATGGTGCTCTCGCTGGAGCCTTCGCCGAAGACCATGACCCAAAACAGAACCTGTTGGGCTACCGTTACGCACACGGGGCGATCCTGGATTCGAAGCGGTGATCTCGCGGGACACCTCGCTGAACTGCACGGCCGTGCACGTTTATTCACTATTACACGCTACAAAGATGCAAAGCGCGGGACACCTCGTTGAACTGCACGGCCGTGCACGTGTCCATTCACTACTACACGCTACAGAGATGCACGGCAAGTCATGTCCAAGACGGGGCTCTCGAGTCACGGGCAGGATCCTAGGGTTGCAGGCTTTTCATGGGGCCACCCCTTGTAGTGCAAAGAAAGGCTTCGAGGGAATTCTGAGGAGGAGACTTGGGAGGAGGGTGTGTTGCGGCATCGTTGATACATCGCGGGTGTCCTCAAACCCTCATCCTCCTCCTCATCCTCCTCATCCTCCTCCTCATCCTCCTCCTCCACCTCGTATCGCTCCTCCGTTCCCTACTCCTCCTCCTCCTTCCTCCTCCTCCTCCTCCTCCTCCTCCTCCTCCTCCTCATCATCATCATCTCATCATCATCATCATCATCATCATCATCATCATCATCATCATCATCATATCATCATCATCATCATCATCATCATCATCATCATCATCATCATCATCATCATCATCATCATCATCATCATCATCATCATCATCATCACCATCACCATCACATCATCATCATCATCATCATCAGCATCATCATCAGCATCATCAGCATCATCATCATCATCATCATCATCATCATCATCGTCATCGTCATCGTCATCATCATCATCATCATCATCATCATCATCATCATCATCATCATCATCATCATCATTAGCATCATCATCATCATCAGCATCATCATCAGCATCATCATCATCATCATCATCATCATCATCATCATCATCATCATCATCATCATCATCCTGCCGCTCCTCATCGTCCTCCTCCTCCTCCTCGTCCTCCTCGTCCTCCTCGTCCTCCACCTCCCCCCCTCCTCGACGGCGACGGCGACGGCGACTGCGACGGCGACGGACGGCTGCTGCCCCCCCGGGGGCGGCGGGGGCCACCGCCACAATCTGGTCGACGGTGTTCTTGGGCAGCCCGTGGGCCTGGTAAGCAAAGGCACCGGAGGCGGGGAGCGTCCCGCCCTGGATGGGTGGCGGAACCGCCCCATCGGTCGTCGACAGTCGCCGTCGTCGTCAGTCGCCGTCGTCAGTCGTCGTCGTCGTAATCGGTCGTCGTTGTCGTCGTCGTCGTCATCATTCGCCGTCCGTCATCGTCGTCGTCGTTGCGGTCGTCCGTCGTCGTCCGTCGTCCATCGTCCGTCGTCGTCGTCGTCCTCGTCAACGTTGTCGTCGTCGGCAGCATCGTCGTCGTCGTGGTCGTCGTCGTCGCCAATTGTCGTCGTCACCGTCGCCGTCGTCGTCGGTAGTCGGTCGTCTGTCGTCTGTCGTTCTCGTCAACGTCGTCCTGGTCGTCGTCGTCTTCCTCGCCACCGTCGCCGTCGTCCGTCGTCCGTCATCGTCTTCTTCCGTCGTCGTCGTGGTCGTCCTACGTCGTCGTCGTCATCCGTCGTCTTTCGTCCATCGCCCGTCGCCGTCGTCACTCCCGCCGTCGTCGTCGGCTTCGTCTCGTGTCGGTCGGTCGGTCGGCAGTGTCGCCGTCTGCGTCGTCATCGTTATCGGTCGTTGGCGTCGTCATCGGTCGTCGTCGTCGTCGTCATCGCCCGTCCTCAGTCGTCCTCCTCGTCGTCGTCGTCATCGTCGTCGCCGTCGACGTCGACGCCGTTGTCGTCGTTGTCGTCGTCGTAGGTCGTCCGTCGTCGTCGTCATCGTGGTCCGTCGTCCGTCGATGTCGTCGTCGTCGGTCGTCGTCGTCGTCAGCCGTCGTCGTCAATCCTTATCGTCGTGGTCGCTCGGTCGGCCGGTCGCGTCGTCGTCGTCGGCGTCGTCATCGTCGTCGTCGCCATCGTCATCCGTCGCCGTCGTCGTCGTCGTCGTCGTCGCCAGTCGTCGTCGTCGTCAGTCGTCGTCGTCGCCGTCGTCGTCGTCGTCGTCGTCGTCGTCGTCGTCGTCGTCGTCGTCGTCGTCGTCGTCGTCGTCCCCCTTCCTCGTCCGTCCGTCGTCGTCGTCGTCCTCGTCAACCGTGGTCGTCTGTCGTCCGTCGTCCATCTTCCTTCTCCTCCTCGTCGTCGTCGTCGTCTCAGTCGGTCTGTCGGTCGGTCGGTCGGCGCTGGTCCGTCGCCATCGGCGGGGGGCCGGCCTTGCCCGCCGCCACCCACTGCGCCACCTTCTTCGCCAGGGCGTCGCCCGCGCCCACGGCGGCCTCGGCGGGCCCGAGTTGCCCTCCATTCCCAGTGAGGGGGGGGGTCGGGGAGCATGGAAAAAAAAAAAAAACATGAAGCCCGTGCCCCCCCAACCCGAAATTCGAGTCTTCGGGTCGGGTTGGGGTGCTCGGGTAGGTAGTCAGTAGGAGGATGACGAGCAGGAGGAGGAGGAGGAGGAGGAGGAGGGGGAGGAGGAGGAGGAGGGAGGAGGAGGAGGGGGAGGAGGGATGGGGAAGGGGGGAGGGGGCAGGCGGGCCCGCTATAACCCGGGGGGTAGCGCCAGACCGTGAGAAAAAAGCACGCTGGTCGATGCGGCAAGGATCTCACTACCACCACGAGGAAACTCCTGGAGGCTCGCGCGGCGGCTTGAGACCCGATGTACGTCGGTTCCACGTCGGATTTACGTCGGGCTCACGTCGGATTGCGTCGAAAGTACGTCGGACGGACGCAGGACCACAGCCGCGCAAACGTCGACCCATAGCTTTCGGAGCTGACGTGTGGACCAGATAATACAACTACTGCGCGCCGCGCGAGGCCTCCTGGATTTTCCCTCATAACTATCATGCAAGGGTCACTGCATCGACCTTGCAGACGTGCTGCAGCGGATTTTGGGGTGGATTCCAGTCCATACAAAGCCCCGAAATGGCGAGCGAAAAACGAAGTGAATTTCGCGTGGATTTTGTTCTCCTCTTTCCTGGCCGAAAAAAATCCGCGCGAAATTCCCTTCGAAATCCGGAGGCAAATTCTCCAGGACACTCCAGGCCCATCCCAGCGTTTGCCGAGCGCGATCCGCTCTGCGATGCTGGCGCCATGGGATTTGTCCTCCTAGCTATCATCGGGAGCGGCCAACAGGGGGGTGTCCACAAGGGGGGTGCAAATCATGACCGGCGGCATGTGCGCGGCACAGCGGGGGGGCCAGGGACGCAATGAAATAAGAAGAGACGCCATGACATCTGGGGAAATATCATAGACCCCGCCATGAGCTCCCCCCCCCCCCTAGTCATCACCCCCCTCTTTGCCGCCCCCGATATCATGCAAAGGTGCTCGAAACAAGCATCGAGTGCCATAGTCGGCGGCGGACAAACCTCCCTTCAGCACACCTCCCTGTAATGAAAACGGCCTAATTAGGACCAAAACCGACGGGCCTGGACCGGCAAAAAAGTGATGGCCGCGACGCCCACTCGCGAACCGAAAACGGCCAACTCGCCAATCGACGTGTCAGGGTACTCCAGATTTCGTAATAAAGGGAGGGGGGTCTCATTTCGGGGGGGGTCTCTTCCAGGCTATCTTGGAGGGCCTGGGGGGGTCTGGGGACGATGTTTTGGAGGGTTCTCCCACGGGGGGGGGTCTGAAATGGCTTGTCTTGGAGGGTCCAGACCCCCTCCCTTTTATTACGAAATCTGGAGTAGGAGGTCTATCAAACCTCCGACGTCACGCAAAGGGTGCTCGAAGCCGCCATCGGGTGCGACAGCCTCGGCAGCCGAGGCCGACGGTGCACCCGGCAGGCGTGGGGGCGCCTCTGGAGGGGGGGCGGGGCGAGGCCGGAGGAGCCCCCAAAACACGGCAGGAGCAGGCACGTCGCTCGTATATATATATATATATATATATATATATATATATGGACCCGACGTCCTGGTGCCCAGGCGGGCGGCGGAGATGGATATGTTTCGGGCCCCGGGGGCCCGAGTGTGTCCACAGCCACCGCCTGCCGAGGCTCCGAAAACTGACCCTCCGGGCGGCGGTCATGTATGAATTTCCTCCTCGAGGCACAAGCATGAAGCAGGAAGGCGGAGAAGCAGCTTGGGGCCGGGCCCCCCCCGAGAGCAGCAAACACACGGCAACAGCAGATCGACTCTTGAAGTTCCAGGGCGCTCGAAGTGGATTGGGATCGGGGAATCCCAAACTTACTCGGGGATGGAGACCTCCCTTTAGTAAAACGTTGTTTAATGAAAACGACCTCGGGCCCAAACCTGGCGGGCGCAAGCCTGGAAAACAACGGCCGCGGCGCCCTCTCGAGAACCGAAAACGGACAATTCACTAATCGACGTGTCAGGGTAGGAGGTCTGTCCACCCCCGACTTACGTTCAACGACCGACGCGTAAACGTCGGGAGATCCGCGCGGACTTCCTTCGCGGGGCGCCGAGGCACCGAGCCTTCCCCCGGCGCGCGGCGCGAGCCAAGGGTGGCGCGCGGAGAGAGCCGAGGGGCCAGCCTGGAGGGCCCAGCGACAGCCCCAGAGAGCCGCCCCCAGCTCCCAAGGCGTACGTTTGAGCTCTGCTCTACAGGCGGGGCGTTGACCTAAGGAACCCTAAATAAGGAACGAGGCCCCTTTGTTCCAATCCGGCGTGTGAGTTTCAAGGAGTCTCAGCTACAGCCTCGAGGCTGAGCTTCAGCCTCTGGGGGGGTCGCCGGGGTGGCTCTGCCGGGGAAGGGGGGGTGGGGGGGGGGGGGGGGGTGCGAGTTTCCGGCGAACCCCGGGGCCGCTCCGGGGGAGTGGAAGATAGGGGGGGGGGGGGCGCCATGCTCCGCTTTTTCCGGCGCTTTGGAGGAGGGGGGGGGCCCAAGAGACCCCCAAGGGGTTCCAAGAGGGCCCCGAGTCGCCGAAAAATCGCTCCAAGACGCCCGAGATGGCCTCCAGACGGCCCAAGGTGTCTCCAAGACGCCCCAAGAAGCTTCCAAGAGGCCTCCCAAGAGGGCCCCAAGAGGCCAGAATCGTTGATTTTCATTTGGTTTTCTCAGGGTTTTTAGCGTTCTTGCCTTTTCGGGCGTCCGACGCTCGAAGACGGCCCAAGAGGCCCCCAAGTCCGTCCCAAGACGGCCCACGATGCTTCCAACACGGCCCAAGAGAGCCCCAAGACGGCCCAAGAGGGCCCCAAGACGGCCCAAGAGGGCCTCTGGACAGCCCAAGAAGGCCCCAAGAGAGCCCCAAGAGGGGCCCAAGAGGGGGACCACGAACCGAAAGAACCGAGCTTTCCGCCCCAAGAGGCCCCCAGGAGGCCCCAAGAGACCCCCAAGGGGCCCCAAGAAGCCCACAAGAGGCCCAAAAGAGGTTCCAAGAGGCCCCAAAACAGCTCCCCAGAGGCCTCCAGACTGCCTCCGGCAGGCCCCCGGTTTCTTCCGCGGCACCGCCCAGGGCGCCACCGGCAGGATGTCCTCCGTCTCATCGTTTTCCTTCAAGTTATCGCCTCTTCCTCATTCTCCTCCTCCTCCTCTGCGACCTCACTCCTATCCCTCAACGATCGCGTCACCGAGTGCCTCTTCTTTGAAACATCCTCGCTCTTCAAACGCACATCCATACACACATGCATACATACCTACATTTAAACACATTTGCATACATAGAAAAACAATCTTCCAGACATACATACTTACATTCACACACATACACACATATTATCATACACACATACAAACATACATACAAACTAAATACATACATACGCGCACAAGCATACATACATACATACGTACCTACACACAGGCACACATGATCAATGCATGCATACATGCATGCACGCGTACATACACACACATATATCGTGAAACTCACCGCGTGCTCGAAACTTGAGAGAGACCGCGGGAAGTCGAGAGAAGCCGCGGAACGAGGCCTCTACTACTACTACCACTACTACCACAACCACTACTACTACTACTACTACCACTACTACTACTACTACTACTACTACTACTGCTACTACTACTACTACTACTACTACTACTAATACTACTACTAGTACTACAGGAGCGTTTCCCAACTAGTATGTGTGTGTGGGTGATGCTGTGTGCGCATGTCTGCGGCGCAGGTTAAGTGGTGTGACTGTGTGTGTGCGTTTGAGTGTGCGCCCATAATTTCTGCGTCTGGAGAATAACCCCGAGCGACCCGGATCGGCGGCACTGGCCGAAGGCCACTACAATAAGGAACGAGGCCCCTTTGTTCCATAAGTTAAACTTCGATGTACCATTGCAAACCTAAGGAAAACCCAAGTCAAACTGTAAAACAATCAAGGAACACGGAGCCCCTCCCCAACGAAAAGGGTTCCTTCTTCAGGGCCCCGACTGCACATGAAATAGCACACGATGATGAAGACTGCCATCTTCCCAACTGATGGCAAGGGGACTCCACCGTACCAACACCGGCTGGTGAGACCGTGCAGGAGGAGGAAACAGAGCACGCTCTCCGAGGGTTTACAGGGCAGTGTTCTATCCATGGGATTTTCGAAATATCGGCTTTGAATTCATGATTAATGTATGAATAAATGTATGCATGAACTCATCGTTGATTTTAGAAACTAAATCCCTGCATTTGTAATATATATGATCCGCACGCGGAGCATGTATCAAACATGGCACTGTACGCCCAGTGCAATCGTGCTGCGTCCTCGAGGGGCAGGACGCCGCTGGGGGGGCCACGGGGAGGGAGGGCCCGGCGCCAACCCCAGAGATCCGCCCGGAGCTCCGAGGGCTTGCACCTCGTGCAGCTGCTCTGCTCTCCCTCGAGAGGCAGGGGGGAGGGCGAGGGCCGAGGACGAGAGGGATGCCGTGGGAGGATTGCGTCGGAGCACCGTCCCAGGCATGATCTCTGGAGGGGGGGGGCCGACGAGGAGCAGGAAGCCTGCGAAAGAGCATCACCGAAACATGCTTACATGTTCGGTGGCATCTCACGGGATGCCTCCCATACCACTGTGTCGGCTCTTGCGGATCGACGCTAGCCGACGCCAAATCGAGGCTAGCTCAACGCTTGATCGACGCTCACAGACGCCTAGCCCGACGCTAAATCGGCGCCGTCTCGTCGACTTCCGGGCGGCTCCGGGCGCCAGTCGACGCCAATCGACGCTCAAAGACGGAATATGAAGAGGGCATTTCAGGCCCCCACGCTTCGCAGCCGAACTGTATGTTCGGGGAGACGTAAGACTCGGGTACGGGGGACGCGGGTTGGCCCGACGGGGTCCATCATAAAAACGACGAGACGCAACCTGAAACTTGACGCGAGCTCCCACGGCA